AGCTATCAGCTATCACTAGGAATCAACGGTCAAGATATTTACTTGAAGGCCGTCGTCACTTGTGTTGGTCTGCACTTGAAGGCACCTTTGATTTTCTGAAACAGAGGGTAGATACGACTTCATCATAACGTACTCTTACGAGCTCTAGATGTATACGCTCTTTCTCACCCTCCGCACTTTTTCCCGATTCATCGTGAATTACCACTTGACCACCGCAAGGTGCCAGAAAAGGGCTTCCCCAAGTCTCCAATAACTCGCAACATAGAGTGATTCCTCATTGGACCAACCCCACGCAGTACTAACCCTATAAAAGCGTGAAGTAAAACTCTTAAAAAATGTATAACTTCCGTTAACTTCGATATTTTCTAGAATTTGGAGGCATATTTAATCTACAGAGATTCAGCCTTCAAAAACCTTTCAGATCTATCGTAGGTGTAGCACTTTTGGTATGAAGTGAAAAATAGAAATTTCGGTACACTCACTGCAACCCACTGCGCAGTTATTCTTCTCAAGGTCATAAATGTTTTCAAATGCGGCCTCTTGTGCAGAGCCGCCCTTCCGAGGATGAGGGACAATGTAACAAGTGCATAGATAGATGGCTGCTTCATGGTGACTTCCACACGGTCCGAAATAGACGAGTGATTCCGCGTAATGAATGAGCAGTAACAGTACATCAGGCTCAAGCGGGAAAAAACACAAAATGCTTGGCTCCCCTTTCTCAACACACAGGTCCAGGTGCTCAACGGCGTCATACACGCCAAATGGTACTGGAAAAAGCTCAAAGAAAATCCTGACTCTCGTGGGTAGATGTCGCACCCTTTGCCCCTTGAAAACGCACGACAAAGGCGCAAGGAGCTCGTCCGACCCGCAACTCACACCTTCGTCCGCAAGCCCCACCCTCCGCTGTCGGTTGCCACTGCTTGAAAAGCGCGGGCGCATTTGAGGCAGCGGTCCCATTGCGATCCAATGTTATTGGCACTGGAGCAACTAGAGTTAGGTTCGTGAAACTCGTCCAACGCGCCCCTTCTCTATCCCAAGGTGGAATGTGGCTGAAATAGGGGAGGTCTCTGTACGGGGCGTAATCGGTGGTTTCGTTTGCTTTCCTTCTCTTTTACAGACCACCTCCCACCTCTAGCTTCATAACTGAACGCTTTTCCACACCTATTTTATCCCGAATCTTGCCTTTAAAGAGATCGCTACATTTCTGCGGAAGCCGACAGCTCTGTAGTTGTAATACCTATGTTCTCAGTACATCCCTCTAAGCCATGCACGTACTGGACCTGCCCCTACTTCCCAAGTAGAATATATGCCAATTCTGTAGCGACCAACCGAAACTAAACACTTTGTCGTTCCACCCTTCTGAGCAAGAGCGAAAATTCGCCTTTCCCAGGCTCCATTTTCAACAACCGTTTACACATTATTTAGAGAACAGGTTTTGCATTGAAACTCATTTCCGTGTGAGATTTATCAAGAACGAACCACTAGCGCCTGCTTCCATCCAATCGACGGCTGCTTACTCGTGGACAGAAGAAAAAAGACCGATGGTTAGAAACATTAAAAACCATAGGCTTCCAGTTTTCTAGGTAGCATAGTCCTCAGAACAAGAAAATGCGCGCCTAAGCTATTATTAGCTGTCTTAATCAGATGGAGGTATAAATCAACCAAGCATTCTTGATATAACGGTTTCATATAAGTTATTCTGCTCTAAAACTCCCACAAAAACCCCCGACAGGAGCTGAAGTGACTACCACTTAATACACTCCATTTACGCCCTTAGAATTTCTAATTGCGCATAGGTGGAACAAGGCAGTGGAGGGGGGAGGGGGGTACGGTAGGATAAGTGACTACTGAAACAGCGAATTCTGCATATTTTACAGATTGAGACTCCCTTACTTTTTTCACAAATAAGCCCTCTCAATGAAGTTGGCACTACGGACGCTAATACTGACCTCGACTGTCTCATGGAAAACCCGGATGCATAGCACGGAAATTGTACTACTATATGCATAGAGTATCATCGCCTACGCATCCCTCACGATGATTCTTTCAGACCTCGCGCCTGACGGTATTGGACCCTTTGTACGAACAAACACACCCTCCGTCTCAGAAAACCAGAAGCGCGTCGAGTCAGAATACACACCACAAGTAACGACGGTCTTCACCATTAGTCTTCAATTGTTTCATCAGCTATCACTAATTAACACTATCAGCTATCACTAGGAATCACCGGTCACCAGATTTACTTGAAGGCCGTCGTCACTTGTGGTGTTGGTCTGCACTTGAAGCACCTCTGATTTTCTGAAACAGAGGGTAGATACGACTTCATCATAACGTACTCTTACGAGCTCTAGATGTAGACGCTCTTTCTCACCCTCCGCACTTTTTCCCGATTCATCGTGAATTACCACTTGACCACCGCAAGGTGCCATTGAAAAGGCTTCACAAGTCCCCAATAACTGACAACATAGAGTGATTCCTCATTGGACCAACCCCACGCAGTACTAACCCTATAAAAGCGTGAAGTAAAACTCTTAAAAAATGTATAACTTCCGTTAACTTCGATATTTTCTAGAATTTGGAGGCATATTTAATCTACAGAGATTCAGTCTTCAAAAACCTTTCAGATTTATCATAAGTGCAGAGCGCCCTTCTAGTATGAAGTGACAAATAGAAATTTCGGTACACTCACTGCAACCCACTGCGCAGTTATTCTTCTCAAGGTCATAAATGTTTTCAAATGCGGCCTCTTGTGATGCTGTAAGACGAACGAGAATCTAGTGATTCTCTCGAGTAGACACCAAACTTCCAGGAAGTTGATTTTTTTTGAGAAAAAAAAAGCCCGTACGCACTTGTTTCGTGCGAATAGAGTGGGATTTAACGATACAAAACGCCTTTGTTTTAGTTCAGTGGAAAGTTTCAAATTGGAAGCAAAGCACCCGCTCTGAGCTCTCTCAAGAATACTTAAAGGCAGTATTCACGATGAAAAGTTGGCTCATTGGAAATAAGGTAGAGGTGGTCAGTGGAGCAGGGATGAAGAAGAAACCATTTGAAACGCCCGAAACCCGAGAAATGGGACCCCTTCCTTGCCCGTTGATTTGCGCATTGATGCGACTCTCATCGCTGTGCCCTCTTCAACACTACGCTCTCTCTGCTATCTAATCACTCGCCACGTATAGACCTGCGGCGAGTGATTAGATAGTCGGTGGGCGTACCCCGCCAACCGCGCCAAGAGTGAGCCATGCTAGATCGCCGAGGTCAAATCTTTCGCTGCCAATTGCGCGTCGGTCAGCACTCCTCAGGAGGTCCGCCTGTCTCCCAACTATGCAATTTTTCCCTTCTTTGACCTTCGTTCTTATCGTGAATTCCTCCCTTAAACCCGTTTTTTCGACGATTAAATTCTAGAAAAATTTACTTGGGAAACCTCGGGGTAGAGAGGGGACGTCGCCAACCAACTTTTGTGACAGATTTCCCTTTTGGCATGAAAAACACTGGTTTCGAGCCCAATGGTTTTCAATGTTACCTTCTCGAAAGTTCGCTCGCTCTAAGGTTTTCTAAGTTTTTCGATTTGAGCATGCAACAATCAGTAGTTCCTTCAAGTGCTTGCTGTGGAGAAAGAAAGGAATTCTGAAACTATGAAATTTAATTAAAAATCAGCTGCTGTGTTCTGAAGAGACCCTTAGATCATGCGAGTAATAAATTTTCATCAAGCATAAAATGCTCAACCTTACCTCTGCACATTTCACTTTGGTATGGATGCATCGGAACTGAAATTTTTTTCGCTTCAATTGATAAAATTTGAGCGTTCGATGCCTAACGAATACTTTCTTGGGCGCGCCGCGCACCCGCCTGTGGTTCAAAGTGGTCCATGTTCCTGACAGCCTTACTCCCCGCCAACCAATGACGACGTCGCTGTGATCTTCGCAACAAGCCTGCCTAGTAACGAAGAGCTCGTCCAAATTGTTTGAGCGGACGTTTGATCCTGCCAATGGATAACGGTAATCAAATACGGAGCCTCTAGCTGAGGTGCCAGAGCTGAAGCTGCAGAGAGCAAAAAAGTTAGTGAATGATAGATTATTTGGTAGATCCCAGCGGGAAGAACAAAAGACTTTTAATTTTTATACATGCGATCATATAACAACAATAACGACAACAACAAATGAAAACAACTTACAATTACATGATAAAAAAAACTCAAGAAGGTCTACTCTGTAACCAGTTCTCTATGTGAAATTGAAGGTTCTTTGGTGTTAGTTCTTGCTGACGCTTCTGAAAATGTGAAATTTTTGGCGATATATGCTGCAAAAGATTGATCAAGAGTCACGTGAGCATGGCCCTTATTTGCCCAAAATACTATAAGATATCGCAGAACCCTGCTCTACATTTCAGTGAGGGCTCGCAGGTCGCAACCTCTGAATGGGTCCGAATTATGCCTTCTTCCTATACGAACTCGAATATTTACATATCATCCATTTTTGAATTAGAATTCTGAATTGTAATCTTTGGAAAAATAACATTTGTGCTAGCAAGATGTTGACTCGAACCACACTCGACAACAGAGAATCCTTTTCATCCTATTTTTTCATTCATATGTTGAAAATGCCACCACTTTATCACGTGCGAAACTTATTAGTATGTCCAAATGCCCATTTCCGGTGACCTCGCAAAAACCGGCTGACTGCGACTAGCCTTTTAAAGGAGTAAAACAATCACAGCAGCTCAGGCTAATCTTCACAAATTTCAGTGTTAGACAGGAAAACAACCACGTGTCCTATCGATTGAACAAAATCCTTGCCAAAATTCCGATAATACCCATAAGCCCACATAAAAAACATACCTTTAGATATTTTTGGATATCCTCAAGGTACTTCATGTCGACTTGTGAGTACCCTCCAGCTTCCTCAATGTCACGTTCCATTAACACCCACGGTTTACTGAAAGAGAATGTGAAAAGAAACATGACTATCTCAAAATAAGCAACTAAGGGAAACCTTATCGGAGCTTCATTCAACAAGTTATAATCTATGTGATTGTATATCACCTAAAAAACCAATGCGGCACTCACATAGATGTCAGCTGGGGATTGAGCTTCAGTGGGCCTGTTGATGGAACCGAATGGAGGATGTTCTGGGCAATCTGGTTCAGTGAACGATGTCGTCGCTGAACTCAATGTGATTACCAAAATTTCAAAACTTACTTAAAGACACGTCAATTCAGTGCCACCATATCACAAATGACAAGGCGCTCTATGAAAGGTCACCTAGCACTGCTCAAAGTTCTGCGTCGATAATATTATATTCCTACCCGTGCCAACATTTTGAGCTCGGGTCGCACAGTGCTACCAATCGCATTAGACACGTCTGGATCGTCAATGTCACTGCGGAAAATGCCTCCAGCACCGCCTTCTGAGTCATCTTCTTCCACCAGTTGCATGAGTTTTCCATGAGCCTAGAATAATTACTCGAAAAAACATTAGTTGAACCGATACTGCCGTGAACAATTAAATTGCGACAACGTACAATGAAAAAACTCCGTACGAGAGCAACGAGACACAATGCAGAGGGATCATCCATGACAGTTGCTATTGCCAAAATGCGTTTTGCAAAGGCAGCCACTCGTGACAAAGGCAGCTGCAAATATTTCGGATACGGTAACAAAAAACAGCTACCGACAAGCCATAATCGAAAAGTAAAAAATGGAATGATCGGGCTTCTACGCAGTAACTTCAATCCGTGCAATTACTACTAACTACTAATACCAACGTGAAGAAGTAGAGCAAAATCGGTTCTAAATATTGTATACATAGAGAGACACCAAAACTTTTAAAAAATAATTCATTTGAAATAAAATTTTGGTGCCTCTCTGTGTTATACAATATTTAGGTCCTGATGAGGCTCCGGGACAGCACTATACTAAGAAACAAATTGGTCCGTTTTATTACAGTAGGCTGGATGAAGAAAAGGATTTCTTAAACTGACCTGTTTCCGCCTTTCGTTGATCATTGAATCAAGAGCCTTTGAGACCACAACCATGTGCTTTTTCCTGATTTCTGCAATGAAAAACTCTAGCCGATCATTAGTCGCAAAACGGCCGGAATATCAGTAACAACTAGTCAGTTTTTGTGTAAGCAAAGTCCAGATAGCTCTTTCAGAACTAGCTCCTAGACCGACTTTGGCAGGTAAAAAAACTAGCGAGCATTTTCTCAGCCTAATGGCGATGACTGAGGAATGGTTGACCTTCGGTTGTTGTAACAGTTCCCTCACCTGGTTTCTTTTCGAAAGGTAACTGATTCAGCAAGCGATAAACTGAACGGTAGAATCTTGAGGGGTCGATGTTCAGAAGTTGACCATCTCCAGATAAGATTACAAAACAGTATTAATGCAGTTTACAGGCGGGTCCAAAAATTCTCTAAGTGCCTTGAAGAATGACAAAGATTGGTGAGACAAGATGGGTTCGGTCAAAGGTTTGCGATATATTCCTTAGTCACGAGTTCGCCATTAGTGCATCTAGTGTTGCGAAAATTCTCTCAAAAGATTGAGCAAATTGACTTTAGGCCCTCGAGTTATCAGGTTGAGTAGAGATACATTTGGGAACTCGTTTCAAAAGAAAAAATGAATTGCGTGGGAATAGTGTGTTCATGTCATTTCGGTGGCACTAAAATATAGAACCGGTGATTATCGCGCATGCTACAATGCCGTATACATGAGGAAAGAGAGATAAAGACAATGTAACGATAGCGACACATCATTTTGTTTCAAAAACAAGTTTGGAGTTTGGGAGCAATTACCGTTTTTAGTTTCGTAGATAGCGTCTCCGCTGCATCGAGTTCTTTCAAATCCGCTTCCAATTTATCAAGCTGCTTCTTGTACTGAAAATAGCAGTGTTAGAAGTTGCACTTGGGAGCAATCAAGTTGTTTCCAAGTGTCACAACAATGTTGTTTAAGGTCGTGGCATCATTACAATAAACTCTGTGCTCAAACGTTAGAAGAAAATGTATAAACTGAGAAAGCTGTGTAATGTAACACACAATAGTCCAGTCAGTAGAAACGGGTTATGCAAGTAGTCGCTTTTGATACTGTAGCTTTGATAGTTTCGTTGAAAATATAGGGCTACGCGACCCTTCACTGATTGACCAGCAGTGTTTTTCTATGAGTTAGTTCTTTATAGGCGCGTCAACTGCACGCATGAACAAATTAATAAATGAATAAATAAATAAACATAAATTGTGATTGAAAGGTTGAACTGTTCCACCTTTCTCGCAGTTTTGTTAGCCCGTTCCTTCTTTATCATAGCTCTTTGCAAAAATCCGCCTTTATCCGACTCTTGTTTCGTTTTAACTTATCCTAACAAAAATTTCAAACAAAGATGAAGCCTAATTCAACTCGTGGCGAATACTCCGAAGATAAGGAATTTTAAACAAAACAACAAAACCTTGATGTTTAGTGAAAGGAATGTGCCGATTAGTTGAGGTGGAACGTGACCTTTTCGTTTAGTAACCAGTGAAGCGATGCTTCGCGCACCGAACAATGACATCCTTAAGTGTAGATCCTCACGAAATACTCTGTGCAGTGTGTCACACACCTCAGACACTACCTAAAAAGTCAGATAGTGGTCGAATTACGGCAAATTATTCTTTTAAGAAAAAAAAAGAACACTGACAGCCGGGATACTACATAACGAGAGACGAACTAGTGACGACAATATATTAGTGGCGTAGTTGAAATGAGGTGCAGAAATGACAAGTCTGCTCATTGACTTCAAACACAACATTCCCAGTTTGTAGGAGAAAGAGTCCTCCGCTAGCTTCCGTCCCTTAGTATCAAGCTCTTAAATATATAATTTAAATGGTCTGAATAAAAAGTTGAATGGATCAAAAGTACCGAAGCGCAGTCTCGCATTATAGTAATGTGCTTGATGCGAAATGAATAAATGCGAATAGGAATGCTATCCAATTATGGTGATTTTCTATATTTTTTCGAACCGTTTTTTTTGAATAGTGGGACTTCAAATCAAAAATGATGAACCGTAAGTTGATGATAGCGTTTCACTCGCACCCAAATACCAAGAAAAATGCATCCAAAAAACTGAAAGCAAGACCGAATAGAACCCGAAAATGAATGATCATACTTCCTGTTGTTTTCTCGCAAAACTGAAGAAATTTCAGATAATAGCGTAGTAGAGATTCTTCGAATGTTTGCAGTCGTTTTGTTTCCTTCTTCACCTTTTGTTTCCTTTCCTCAGCCGTGAGTTCGCGGATAGAGTAACCAGGAATGATGTCGATTAGAACCTTAAGTGAATTCGAGCTTTATCTGGAACCAACTGAACAGCTTTAAGATCAACAAAACGGATCACTCACTTGAAGCATACTGACCACCGCAAGTTTCTGCACGCTCTCACGTACCAGTGGATGAACTTTTTCTCCTTGACACAAGTGGAATAGATCCCTCAGCTTGTATATCTAGAATAAGATTTATGAGGCTTCAAATCTGTTCTGCAGGAGACGAACGTTGAGTGACATTCAACTGAATAGTAATAAAATTTCAGAAGGACTCATTACAACCCCCACTCACATTCTCTTGAGGATTTGTAAGGAGTTGGTGGGCATAGGTAGATATAGTTAGTTTGAATTCAGCGAGAAGCTCTTTTCGCTTGGCAAGTAGCTCCGTAGCACTTAAACCAGAGTAGTCCTTAAAAATTAGGCAAAACGTAATTGCGATCTATTTTCACTTCCAGGAACACTATCGATATTATGAACCTCCATTTCGGGCTTCACTTCTTGTTCTTCATTTTCTTGTTCCAGCTCCTCATCTGAATTGTCTAATTTCTTCTTCTCACGAGTTGGTCGTAGAAGAGTTCCATCCTACAATACTGTACTACATAACCATTTGATAAGGGAGCATATGAGGACATACCTTCAATTTTATAGGCAACATTTCTTCCAGGTTATCATCTATCTGCCCATCGAACTTTCGTTTCCTCATTTCAATATCACCATCATCAATATTATCGTCATCGCCTCCCGATTTGAACTCTGCACACACTACTCTCAAAAATTATACCACGGACGATCAGCAAAAAACAGATTTTCTCATATAAGGAGACCAGCAATTAATTCTACTATAGACCCCGACAGTTTGCACGAGCAACACAGAAGAATGTGAAAGAGAGGGGGTGACTCAAAAAGTCATATTGTAAGATAAATAAAACACTACTTCAAACAATAAAGAAAAGATTTGATCAGTGAGTGAGGAAGAAACAAAAGATTGTTGAGATGAGTAACGACACCTCCTTCCAAGGAAACAGATTTGGTTTGCAGGACTGAAAAATTGCACCATCCCAAAAAACGGCGACACTCACTCTCGTCATGCCTTCGCTTTACCCCAGCGAACGCGCTGTTTTCCCAGTCGATATCCGCATCCAGCATATCCAGGGGAAGGATATCCTCAGCTTCTTCGTCATACTGAGCTTCACGATCTGCAACCCAGTCGTCTTCTACCTGAAATGCCATGGTTAACAAAAGCTTAATAAATAAAAGCGTGATAAAAACTAAAGCTCACTATTGTCAAAACCATAACCACTAGGTAGATGATAACGCTTGACTCCCACAACTCCCTCAAATCTTTGTTTTCTAACCTATATATGAAGCTTTTACATCTGTTTGCTCTTTTCGAACTATCCTATCTTCTTGGTTTGAAACATTTGAAGTCGCTGAAACACTCATGCCCATGAACGTTTCCCTGAGAAGCTGCCTGCGTTTAATGCAAAACGCAGTAAAGCTAGTAGTATACGCAAAGATTCAAAACGCTATTAGTGCCATATCACGGGCGAGACGGCAGGGGAGAATTTTGGAAAGGTAATCCATCGGACTCATACCTCCATAAAACGAAGTTTCGTAACTATTCAGGCTCCAAAGAGGCTGGATAGGTTGAAGTGAATCGGATACATCGGAACTGAGTATCCCAGCACCCGATTTCTTACACTGACGTGGGCACATGGTTAACAACCGATAAGTCGCACATTCAGAAGCAAGCCAGTGAAGCGCCGTTAGAAAACCCAACTTTTCAAGTCCCATAGAATCAGCCAAATACTTAAGGAAAATGGATGAGCCTCCAGTTAACTGATAAATGACATAACTTTAAAAAAAGGACATATTAGATCCCCAATATTTAACAGTGGTAATGGATATGAAAGTGCGTGGATCCTTACATTGACAGCACGCTTTCGCGACTCCTTCGACTTTCTAGCCTTGATATCCTTGAGACCATCAATTACAGTTCTTGATATCTTCTTCTTCTTTGCCATACGATTCAATTTCCTCGTAGTCTTCCTAGTGTTCGAGGTTTTCATCATCTTCAACTTCACTTCACGAGAAGACGAAGCGAACCCCATTTTGCCTGAAACACCTTCACACTTAAAACTTTCGTATTGAGCCGATTACTTCTAAACACTTCCAAGAGACAAACTGCTTGCTATCCGAAATACTCAGAACACGATTTGATATGGAGGTGATTCCTTGCAAATTTCTACCTACATATAAAACAATGCAAGTTGTTTGAAAATCAATCTCGAGGGGCAGGGGTGGGGTGGGGGGGGGGCTAACATCGCGTCAGGATTACAGAAACGCTTGTTTAAGACTAAGCTGATAGGAGAAGGTAGCTCTCGGGTGCGTAAGCAATTTTCATTCTCTCCGGAATTCGTCCCTCTCCGTAGGCTTAGTTCCAAGAGCCTTCCAACAGAATGGCTCCTCCCGGGGCACACTGTGTCCCAATCCCTTCAGCGCCGGGATATAAACAAGTATCCTCTCAAATCTACGGAAAGTTTTTTAAGTAACGTGGAGCTAAAGTAATTTGTGAAAATTCCACAAAACATTTACCATGTTTCGGATTTTGCTGAACTTCCAACCACTAAAAGCAATCTGGGCTGGGTCTGTTACAGTTAGTGGGAGGCATGTAGCCAGGCATAGCGGATACATAGGACTAAGCCTTGAGAGGAGAGGACCCGCTCAGAGCACAGAGGCGATTTAAAGGGCGAGTGCACGTATGTCCGGGTCAGGGGGAGTGTAGCCAGTCTAGGGGGTGGGGGGGGGCAATCATTACATGTGTAAGCAGGAATGTTGGAGTTCACACTAGTTCGCCGAAAAGCTGCATCATGATGCCCTCCCAAAACTTGGAACAGGGCGAAACTCGGGGTCGGGGGGGGGGGCATGGGGTGATTTTGAAACTTCCACAAAATTCGAATGAAGCTAAACTGCCCTTGGGACTAAGCCTGAGAAGAACGACCAAGCGCCGCGCCGTACCCCCCCCCCCGACTCGCTTTCGCCCTGGAACAGCCCCCCACTTTGGTGCTACCAAGGCATGGCACGTTAACTTTCACGGCATTCTCACGATTCAATCAGCTGCCCTCACCCACCCTCTGGCCACTCTTCCTGCTCACATAATCTACGACCTCTCGTGCAGTATAGTACGGTAGCAGTCCCCTTGCATACATTTTTCGAACATGCGGCGTGCCACCCACTTGTATAGCCAACCCAACTATTGATTCAAAATTTATAAAAGGAAATGGAGCAGATGGAATCATGCAGACATATTTTCGACGGGATCTCTCTCCATAGAAAAGACCAACTCTAAAGACCGAACCGCTTCCATACATTATACGAACGACAAAAAAGCATGTTTCATCGAACACACAGTACACAAAATATAGTTGACTACCCATCCACTGAAATATCTCGACAGAAAAAAGAACTGACATTAATTCACCTAACAGCGAATAATAAACTGCAGACGTATTTGTAAGATGTGTTCCGTAATTAAAAAAAAGCTTTAAAGGATTCAATCTTTCGTTGTAGGACCTAAGGGTCTACAGTGTAAAATGACGAAATTTCGAGATAGGCGGTGGAAGCACTGCACAGGTTGTTCTTACCCGGTTTGCTTAGTGTTTGAAAATCTCATAACTGACCGGCTCTCCATGTGAACAATTTGAACAACTGTTTACTAAAGTTCCCCCGACCACCCAAACAACTCATCAATAACCCATAGGCACTGTTTTGTTCTTCGTCTTACGTTTGTATGCTCCTCATCTATTTGGTACTGCTTCTGTTCATTATTCTTTGGTGCTTTTTTGCCTTGTCATAATTTGATTCACCGGAATTAAGTAATCCACTTTGCAGCATCATCGCTCGATTCCCCCTTAGGCACATTTTCACCCTGCTCTGCCATCGTGCATCGAACTAATCGCACTGATTTTGTGAACACTATTTGATGGCATTCTTCTATCGAATTAATGTAATCAACCTAAGAGTATCGATTTCATATAGTCACAGATGTCAAAACACTCGTCGGAATCAAGTCACATATTCTTGTTCATACTAGAAAAGGAAAGATCTTCATTCACAGGTCTGACACGCAATTCGTGGTGCTGTGATTGGAATTGATTTGGGAACGACCAACTCATGTGTGGCTGTTATGGAGGGAAAGCAAGCAAGGTTTTACTCAACTCATTTTTTTCGCGTAGAGTTTCATGCCATAAACGACTGGGTAAAGGAAGTTAGTAGGGCAGCCTTAATACGATTATGTTAAGGTGTATCACCCTACAGCTCCCTGATAAGTTGAAGATGAAATACTGACACACTGGAAGTATTTGTAATTTATTCAATAACCGTCCCTTCCATTGCGACTCAAGCGATGTGAAGCTTTGACCTCTTCCATTTCACCTACTTTTACCTGTGAGAACTCTAATCACAACTACGAGCATCTCAAATCCCTAGTACTAAACAGGTTCTCACACCAGTGACGGAAGTCTTTTGCGACCAGTTGTTGCGTTTACGATATTTCATTTTTAGCAGGGGAAGGAAGCTTTAGGATGCTCGAGTTACTTCGCTTCCGCTTCCACACCCTACTCGTGGCTTCTTTCCTTGCGAAAAATTGAATTACTACGTTGTTCCCACACGTCCGCTCATCGTAACAGGTGAAGACCTGTCTTGTTTTCCGCTGAAAAAGGAGAATGTTACTGAAGTGTTTTCTATGGTGATAAGGAGCTTGTTACAAGGGTAATGTCACCTTTGTTACAAGCTCCTTATCGCCATAGAAACAGTTCAATTTAGAAGTTTGGCAACTGCTCACTTCTGAACGTTGCTGAATTCGCTCTGGCGGGAAGACATTTCCATTCCTTAGCACCTCTATTCAAATTTACTTGCCTTGAGTAATCAACATCAGCGTTGGTTTACATAGCACTCTTGAGAGATAAGCATCCTTGATTAGTACTCATATTGATCGGACTGGGACGCATTTGAAAAAAAAATCATCAAGATAAGATGAGGAAATAAGCTTGCCGATCTCGACTGCCATATTTCGCACACATTCAAAAGGCTGAGCTAGTAATATACATACGTGTGATTTTTCAATACAGGGAATCTCAGAATTGGCGCAAGCTCTGGTAGCTATTGAGCAAAGACAGTTTTGGGGATGTTGTTGTCCTGCAGCTATCCCAAAGTACCTTGAGTTTCATTTTAGGTAATAGAAAATGCGGAGGGTGTTCGAACGACACCGTCAACGGTCGCGTTTACGAAAGACGGAACGATTTGTTGGAGCACCCAGCCAAGCGCCAAGCGGTCACTGACTTCCAGAATACCCCTCATGCTTCCGCAAAAAGGCTCATCGTAATCGTTCGAGACCCGAATGCAGAACGATGTGTGAGTATCTCTCATTTTTGTTGCTGACCGTGCTTGTTAGTGACCTCGTTTGTAACCGTTTGTTTCAGAAAGATTGTTCCATTCAAAATTGTGAAAGCTAGCAATGGAGATGCTTGGGTTGAGGCCCAGGGCAAAATGTATTCCCTTCACAGGTTTGTAAAAGTGTTTTTGTTTGTATTTTTTCATGATTTTTTCTCACAGCCAGATAAGCTGCGTTTTCTAGGTTGGTGCCTTCGTACTTATGAAAATGAAAGAAACTGCTGAAAGCTACCTCGGAACCACAGTGCACAATGCAGTTATTACAGTTCCAGCTTACTTCAATGACTCCCAGAGACAGGTATTTTGAAACTCCTATAGTAGTAACTTGCAGCTTCCTACCTCTTATTTGATTTTGTGAGCTGTACTTAATTACTTTTTAGGCTACTAAAGATGCTGGACAAATTGCTGGTTTGAATGTGCTTCGAGTCATCAATGAACCTACAGCTTGCCTGCTCTTGCTTACGGCTTGGATCTCAGCAGAGATAAACTTAGTCTTACAAGTCTCTGTTGTCCTACGTGGAAGCCAAGCTTGTGCAACACCTCTTAAGAAAAGGTCGCATTTCAGTATTGCTGTCTATGATCTTGGCGGTGGTACCTTCGATATCTCAGTGTTGGAAATTCAAAAAGGAGTATTCGAGGTCAAGTCGACCAATGGTGATACCTTCCTTGGTGGAGAGGATTTCGAAATTCATTGCCTCCTTTTTGGTTAATCATCTAGTTCCGAATCAACGTCGAGCAATGATGAATCTCACAAAGGTACAAAGGGTTTTATCATTTACCCTTCAGAAAGATAGGTAGTACGGAGCGTATCAGTGTATTTCTTCTCATTTGCTGTGTTATCGAATCTTGACAACTTCTCAGGCGAGTCCAAGTCAGGTTGTGAAAAGAAAGGAATCACCCACACGAAAGATCGAAAGATACCATTAGTCGCTAATTTTACTTAGATTCACTCATTCAGGACCCTATGGCAATGCAGCGACTGCGTGAAGCTGCCGAAAAGGCGAAATGTGAGTTATCGTCCACCACCCAAACCGACATAAATCTTCCATATCTTACAATGGACGCGTCTGGACCAAAACATATGACTTAAAACTTACTAGGTTTGCATTAGTATTTTCAACATGTTGTTAATCTTATTGTCGTAATAACTTTGAAGCTATTAAGTGCGATGACACACGTATATGCATACTTTTAGAGCGAAGTTCGAGCAGCTTGTCGCGGACCTTATTAAGCGTACGGTGGAGCCCTGCCGCAAGGCCATGCATGATGCTGAGGTGCGTGTGTTCCTTGCTGTGGTCTATTTGCATTATTTGTGACTCGAATACGCATTTCAAAGACATTGGAAAATGCTGGGTTTTGACGTAGTTTTGAGGTTGTAAGAGGTCGTTTGCAGTGACCTAAAGAGAAATAGACCACTCTTTGTGGTTTCCCGATGCTATTTGCCCCTTTATTCTGAATATTGCGAAAAATTTGGAAACCCTTACTACTCCCATGTCACCAAGACATTGTTTCTAGGGTTGAATTTGTCTTTTAAAAGTATGCGATTTAGGTGAAGCCGTCAGAGATTGCTGAGGTGCTTCTAGTAGGAGGTATGTCTCGTATGCCAAAGGTACAACAAACCTGTCCAAGAGGTGTTTGGACGCACCCCGTCGAAAGCTGTGAACCCCGATGAAGCTGTCGCTATGGGAGCGCTATCCAAGGAGCTGTCTTGGCCGGTTAGCTACTATTTGAATTCGTGAGGCATCTTGCAATGATTTATGTGTCGCGACACAAGCAGGAGTTTGCAGGACGTAGCTGCATGTGCTTTTCTCGATGTGACACCCGCGCTTTCACATGGGTACTGAAACCCCTGAGCGTGATGACGAAACTTCATTCACGTAACACTACCATTCCCACAAAGAAAAGCCAGGTAAGACAGATCTCATACTCCATTCTAAAACAGGTTCTGTTTGAGTTGTTGTACGCAGCATTTGATTGGTGAGCACTATGGTCCTTGATTCTTTTCCTTTTTTGGCCAACACACAGACGATCGCGCGGACCTGTGCTCATGTAGGCCACGTGCAGGTGTGCGGTTCGTGCGTCGTCCGCCACCCACTTTGTTTATTTCTTAAACACACATGATTTCTTTCTGATTTTTTTTTTTTCGTTATTCTTAACACACTGGCAACAGCGTGACGCGGTGCGCGTCCCACCTGAGTCGTTCTTTCCTTCGCGCTTGCGCAACTTATTCCCAAAATGTTTGTGTTATTTCTTTTGATCACACTATAGCACAAATGTCAACGACATGATCACCGATTGGACAAATGTGCTTCATCACGGAAGAAGTTTTCGAAGCGTCACGAAATTGGCAGCTTGGTTCATTCCTCGTTTCTTGTTATTCTCATAACCATATATGAAAGAGTAGTAGAAGCAAATGCATATCTATACGGATAGCAAAACTTGTGTTCTATGGAACAATCAGCCTGTGAATTCTTCCAACTTTATTCACCGCAAGCTAGTAAAACTGGCTTTTTCAGAACATTACACCTCCTTTTGATGAGAAACCCACCACTGTATCCTATATTAACTCAATACTCATGAATTGCTTTCAGGTTTCGTGCCGTTCACATTTTGCGTAGTCTCACTCAAAATTTACGGACGTGACAGGAGGCGGCTGCGCTTTCGAAAATCACGCCTGTCCCACGCGCAAAAAAAAAAAGCGCCTCTCGCCAACGTATTGAAACATATACTTGAACATCCCTTATGCAGTGCCCACGGGAAGTCGGTATGTATTTTGCAAATATTTTCTTAACCTTACGAAATTTTGGGACAGTTAATTCTCTATTTTCTTTTGTTCTCATTTGCTTGTAATAAAAAGAGTGCTAAAAAGAAAGCTCCGCATAGAGTTCACCAATTCGCATCATGTGTTTTGATGCAACTACTCAAGGCCAAAATGCCTATTTAGTTTCCGTTTCAGTGAACAGTTGACAAATTCTTTTTTTTCATGCTTGCCCATTCTTCTGTGTTACTCCTGAAATACTTTTGTGCCATTCACGTTTTGTCCACGTACATTCAAAAAAACCCAAAACGGACGCTTCTTTCAATGAAGTATACGACATCGGTTGCAGTATTGCCCTTCTCAACTATGATTCTTCACTTTCCAATAAAACACTAAAGAGATCAGAAAGAAAGCGAGTCTTCTCCGCGCACTCCTTTTTCCTTTTGCTTTCCAACCTACACTCTACACTCTCTTAATAAAGAACTTTCTGACCACTGATCTGCTTTCGTTGCATGAAATTAACGAATGGTGGAGAGTCTGATACCCATTATCTTTTCCTCATACTTTCTACGCTTATTGGGTGATTCCCTATCGGCATATGTTCACAACCAGCGAATTGGGCCGCTGGCCGCAGCATGCCCAGCCTGGAATCGAATCCTGAATTGAATATCGGCCAAGATTAACTAAGCGTTTATCACCTTCGATTTCAGTTTGTTGATATTGGACTATTCTGACTATCAGTTGTTCATATTGTGGTCCCATAGTAACTGTAGAGATCAAATCGCATTCAAAAGCCATCAGTTATGAATGGGAGTATAATGGTGGTACATTCTATTATGGGACTGCGCTTGATCCTTACACGATAGTGTCACTGTTTTGTGTTTTGCCTTGTCAGTGATGAATTTCTTATTCTTGATCATTTCCTCATTAAGCTTGAGGTGACCCCTCATTTGTTTACTCGTACAACCCAAGACGCTTCATTGTAAAATTGTAAATCATTTCAGGTATTTTCAACAGCAGCTGACGGTCAAACACAGGTGCAAATCAAGGTTTGTCAAGGTGAACGTGAAATGGCGAATGATAATAAGTTGCTGGGACAATTCTCATTGGTGAGCTTCCCCATATATCTTCTTGTTGATGCAACATTATTGGTTTTCTTGTTTAGGTTGGCATCCCTCCAGCTCCTCGTGGTGTACCTCAAATTGAAGTAACTTTCGATATCGATGCGAATGGTATCGTTAATGTATCCGCCCGAGACCGCGGCACTGGAAAGGAACAACAAAGTGAGTTCCAATTCTAATAAAACGAAAGTCCTCTGTCTCATATTTTAATCTTACATCTCTTTATTATCTTACCACATAATTTGTTTATTAGGTTTGTCCTTATGCACTTGTTTTTTAAGAGCGAAAGTGCAAGAAGTAGGTTGATGCCTGAAGGGTCAAGATTACTGATTATGGCGCAAAAATGTGTTAGGGCTAATAAGCGGTAAATTGGTGTCCGCTCTGTCTTGGCTTTGAGATGCTCTCATATTCATTTGGAAAAGAAAGCGACCACTGTTTCATCTGGCCAAATTGTTTTCTTGGTGTGCACATGATAATTCTGACTCCTCACTCGTAGTCTGGACTAAATGCGTTCAGGAACAAAGGGTGAAGGGAATGAAGAGATAAGGTGTGAAAGATGAAATATTCAGAACTGGGCATACCTTCTGATGTGGATCTCGCGTTCTAGTGCGTTTCTTGATCTGGTGGCGTTTGGGCGCATATTTGACTCACACGATTTCAATTTGATATTAGCCGATGTTCAGTTCTTATTTGCTATATATTTTAAGAGTCTATTTCGGTACTATCTCACGCTCAAAATTTGCATATGTTAGCGGTCATGCCTTTGAAGAAGGTTATATAAAGAAAGTTTTCCCCCGTTTTCCTTTTGCTCTATGTCGTGCATGAGTGTCTTTTTTCCCTTCTTTTCACTTGTATTTCATTCTGATTTCAGTTGTGATTCAGTCCTCTGGTGGACTCTCCAAAGATCAAATTGAGAACATGATTCGAGAAGCCGAGAAGAATGCTGCTGAGGATGCTAAGAAGAAGGAGATGGTTGAGGTAATTCGGCTTTGCATATTTCATATTTATTATTATCAGTTCAGCGTTGTAACAAAAGTGGCTTATAATATAGAAATTCAAGTACCGGTAGAACGAAGAGCATCAAAAAAGAATTCAATGAACATCACAAGTGTTCAAATAGGTGTACTGTGAGCTGGTTAAAAAGGGGAAGGAGTAGCCGTCGGACAGTGAAGTGAACAGGATAACGCAGGAGGGCAATGGGCTTCCAACACTGCGAGTTCTCACGGGCACAGATGAGAACTCTGGGTACCATCGTAGTAGGTCCACTAACGTTGGGTGCACAGCGGTAGATGGCCAAGGGGTGGGAGGGAGGGCAAGGCAAAAGACAGCCAAATAGTGCAAACAACACAAAATGAGTAAACACAAGAGGGAGGGCATTGAAGGAAGAAGGTATAACGACAATTTTATAAGTCAGAACAATATTAATATAAAAACCTAAGGATAACATAGTTTGATACATAAAGCTAGCGTTGTAATTGCTATTTCTTAACAGTTTTGATTCAGGTGCTCAATCAAGCGGAAGGCATTATTCATGACACTGAAAGTAAAATGACAGAGTTCGCCGATCAACTCCCCAAAGAAGAGGTGCATCACATTGTTTCACATTTGATTTGTTCGTGTTTTCTAATCAATGTTTCATACTTATTCAATTTTAGGCTGAGGCTCTAAAGAAGAAAATCGAGGAGACCAAAACGATTCTGGCGAATAAGGAGAACGAGAAGCCCGAAACTATCAAGGAAGCTGTCAGCTCTCTCCAGCAGCAGTCGCTGAAGTTGTTCGAGGTTCATAATTCTTTTCGTTGTTTTAGAGTATTTGAATTTGGCACTCCTAAAAAAGCATTGCTTTTCAAAGAACTCTTGGTGTATTTGTTCCCGTCAGATTGTGCACGTTCCATGCTCTTTCTTGATCTGGTCAGAGTCTTAAGCTTTACATGGCTCACGGAAAGAATGGCCTGGGAACCCAGTTCCTTGCAATATTTTCTTGCTTCCAGGCGGCGTACAAGAAGATGGCAGAGAAGAACGCTGGAGGTACTTCAGATGCTCAAGAAGCCAAGACCGCTGAAGAGCCAAAGAAGGAGCAAAATTAAGTGTACATGTATTATCCATGTGATGTTCTCTTTTATTCCACTGTAGTACGTTAGGTAAATAGTTGGTTGTTTGTTGTTTGTTTGCTTCCCATGTTCCATATTTTGCCCTTGAAATGGTTCTGCTAGTTTCTTGTTACGTCGAACATGACTTTCATTGTTCTCATGTCATTTGTTGGATTTTACCGCTGAACCGGCGATTTTCTGGTCGATCTCGGTTCCTGGTACTTCGATGTCCTTTGATTTTACCATAGATCTTATGTATAGATTTTTCGTCATATTTCTATGGTGGCAATTTTTGTTAGATTATTATTATTATGAGGATATTAAATTTTTCTTTAAAAATTTGTATTCCGTCCGAATTTGTATCGGCAAGAAGACATACATGGCGATATTCAACCTTTCTTTCTCAGGTTCAAGGTTATGGCAAGGACCAACATGTGGCGGTTGTCCGATATGCGCTACGGGCCCAATTTTTTGGTAGCGAATATGACAAAATAAAATGCAGCCTTTGCTTCAAAATCAGGCGGGTGTTTGCGACAAAATTCTCTCTCGTGTGAGATGTGCTCAGCGTGTGTGTCAGTGGTCTTTAGTCTACGGCAGATTCTTCGTTTCCCGTCTCATATTTTCTTACGCGGTGTACACCGCTTCGTTAACCACGCCTTCTCCGACTCATCGGTCGGGAAGGGTTCAGAGTAATCCTTTTATTGGTGCGTATACCTTCTTTATTTTTTATAAAAGATAAGAGATTGATGGGAAACTCTTTCATTATAGTCAAGCCAAACTGTTGTTTTGTCACCTGAAGGAAGTTTTATTGCGGCTCGAAAGATGCCCCGGCTGTCTTTATCTTCAAAATTCCCTCTTCATGCTAATGATCTCACATTGGCTATGAAATCATTTTAGGCGGAGTTTGGAGCATTTCCCGCGTCCCCCATCTATGCTTCACTGCCAAAATCTGTCAGTCGTGATATTATCATGCTTAATGTGGCATTAGAGCTCTGGACATTAACAAATTGACAATAGCGTGGCTGCATTTTCAAAGAGGGGAGCCCGTTTTGCGAAATTTGTGCCTCCATTTTTTATGTCCCAAGTTTGTCCACTTTCATTATCGGTCACAATTGTAAAATAGATGAGCGCACGCCCCAACAATGGCGTGCCGTAAATGTGTAAAAGCTCATTCTCAGTTGAGTAAATAGAATGGTCCCGTTACGGTATAGTTCCAATTTGATCATGCTCTGCATTTTTATGATGTGAAAACTGTTCGACGTTTTTTTGTACGTTTTGTTCTTTTTCATTTATTTTTTGAAATCCATTCATAAATATCTGTTGAAAGTATTGTGGCTGAAGTACTGGCCTTATCACACATGTAAATTGTACTGAGGCTATAAAGAATAAGCGGAAATGATCATAGCTTATTTAGTGGTGAGGGGCAACAACTTTTTTTCTTCAAGAATACGTTCTCGCTGTGATCTGTTCGATATTGACTGAAGATGCCTCTTTCCAGCTGTTCGTTTTTTTGTGCTTGAAGCGTTCAATTTCCTGCTTATCTCCTCTCACTCTCTTCTCTTGTTTGTTCGCCCGATGACGCCACATTGATTTCGGCGATCCCTTCTTACCACGCATTACAGTCATGTTCATGTTCTTTGTATCCTTTCATCAATGACTACCTCCTCACCTTTTAAGTTCTTCATTATTTTTTAGCCTTTTTATTAGGATTCAGTACATTGTGCGTTCTCTTTGTTAGGCTCTTTTGTTGAACTTAATTCCATCATTTTAGGCGGAGGTGGACAATAGCTAGTGGAGCCTCTGAGCAGCATCTTTCGGGGTCAAATACCACATCGAATCCGGTTCAAGCTAATATAGTCTTCCGTCACGTAAAGGGAGTAATCGCGCTGGTCCTCAGATGGAGAACCCTGATGGATTGACGTTCATCGGATAGGTGATTCGTAACGAAAGAGTTGAGATGGAGATTGTCTGGGCAAGTTAATGTTTGTCATGGCAAGGCGCTCTGTTTCAACAGCGATAGAAATGAACATCGAGTGAGAACGAAAACCTTCATACGTCATCCACGCAGCCGTGAACCCATAGCACGTCTGAAACGTAGGTGGTGAAGGATTCCGGAAGTGAGTTCCGACGCCTTATCACGCCGTCGATAAGGCGCCAAGCGAATAGCCACTGCTTCTGAAGAGTCGCCTGCTATCCCATTGGGTAGTTCTCCTCCCACAGTCGACTATGTAATTTTCCCATTCGATTCCATGGGATTTGTTTCGACCACTTCTTTAAGAGTTGTTTGATTGATATCAGTTTCCATCGAGGGGAAAACACTTTATTGCCCTTCAGTTGCGCTATCGACTATCGTTTTGATTGAAGGCTTGAAGTCAAGGATAGCAATCCATTTATTGCTAAGATTGAAACCACATTTCTTCCTGCTGCTTATATACGAAGTTCGAACACAAAGTCTCTCACGATGAAACACTATTTCTTCTGAGATGGAATATTAAGTAGAAGAGCGAAAGCAAACCAACAAGTGGATGCGTATTCTTTTAACGCGAATTCATTTACGTGTGTATGCCTATGTACCATACCGTAATCTGGACGCTATGATTCTGTAGTAGTACAGAAACAACCAGCCATACCAAGCTTCTCTCATAGACGTAGCGTTCAGTGCTGACACCTTCCCGGAAGCAGCTGAATGTGTGACTCACCTTAGAATCGAATTGGTCGCCTTCTGCTATATTTCATCTCATATGATTCATCTTGTTCGTTTGCATCCGTGACCTTAAGAAATTTGCATAGTTTCCTCCAGACGTCATCAAGGGGAATGCGATTTGACATAACTCTTTGGAATCCTCTTCCACAAAAAATCGTTCGACGGTCTCGGTAGAAGTCTCTACAAATCTCTTAAACGTTTTTGCAAGCGCACTGCCAATCCATTGTTAAGTGACTCATGTCAGAAGTTACTCGTTCCATGGTAAGTCCTGTCTCCCCTTCACATGAAAGGATGTTTAGTTGTTCACCTGATTGTCTTTGCTGTCGTAAGCCTCACCGCGTAGTTATTACACATTGCTTTCGTGATTTAATATTCTCTGATCGCGGTTAACCAATTTTCATGAGCGGCATGGAACAAAAATCTTCGCACAAGGGCTCAAAAATAGTACCTTTATTTGCTTTAGTCTTTCTTATCGTGCTCGACCTACTATTTCCGATGTTTTCCTCCTGCTCTTCGCTTCTTCCGTTAACCGCTTCTTAGCCTTTTCGTTTTTCTGTTCGTCAGTGACCGTCTTTATATGTCATTTCATGTAGTATGTTTCGCTTTTAGCTAATGAGTCCTGGAGTAGGCACTGTGTCAGTGCTTTTGGGCGCTCAATGGGGTGACGAAGGCAAGGGAAAGGTGATCGACTACCTCATCGAAAATAATGATGTAGGTTTTGTATTTAATCCTCCCTAACAATTTATTTTTACAGTTAGGTTCGGTAAGTATGTGGACTTTTTCGTTTTTCGTCGGTCTACGACCGCGATATTGTCACGCATTGGAGCGGTAAGGTTGGTTATCAGAGATCGTGAATTACGCGACGGATCACAGAAATCGTTCTGTGTACCGATAAATACTGCGAGTGCTCTCCAATCCCGCCGCCGTTCTGCTTGATGGTTATGGTTGAATGACGACTGTTCATGATTCTACTTGTTTCATATTCAGTGTTTCAAATGTTCAGATGGGGCACTTGCGGTTTTTGCGATTGCAGACTCTGACACCAGCCTAACCATGCTTCTCTCACACTCATTATGTAGGTCACGTAAGGAACTTTAGTCTTTTGGGAAGCTCAAAGAAATTCGCTGTGTCTTCAATATTTCCTGGGCTATTTATAGCGCGATGCGCGATAGATATGCTGTTTTTTTTATCTGGAAGGTGATCTATTCCTAATTTCCATTGCTACATGCTGATTTTTACAAGCCTACCATTTACATATCAAATATGGACTGTTGTAGAAAAACATTCTGTTTATTCATCTGTTTATTTGTGCATGCGTTCAAATAACGTTCGTTCACCTGTTTATTTGTTATTGTAGTGTGGTGGGGAGCGCGACTTAAAGCGGATGTGCTGTAGTGGCAAGTGGCGCTGCTTATCACGTGCTCGGTCCGCGGATCAAATCCTGCGTCGTCCGGGCTTACTAGGCCATCCATCCCTTCGAGTCGGTAAATGGATACAGACTTGTCTGGGAAATAATAACACTGA